TGCCACTTTACATGAGTGCCGAGAGCTGGCTCTAGCTCCTAATCACCATTACCACAATTTCAACACCTGTTCTTCAGACTTCTTCCTCTAGCCCTTCTCCTATTCCACGCCTCAAACAACACAATGCTTCCCTCAGGCTTTACCAGCAGCAGCACGTTTGCACTACAGCAAATCTCTGCCTACAGCAGCACAACTGCTGCGCTCATTCGCCCCGGCCACAGCACAGAAAGCTACAGCTCAACCCCTGGAAGGAGGCAGAACAACACTTTGGAAGCTGAAATCCCACTGCTGACAACGCTTTGGAAACAAACATACCCGCAAATCCTTCACCAGAATTCCAGCATTAACAAAGGTATACTCATAATTACCTCTTCCTTCTGATTGGGAATTCAGATATAGGTACAGGAAATGGCTTTCCAACTACAAACAGCGCTTTGCAGCTATTTTATTAAAAACTCTGGATGTGAAGAACGCTGAACTGAGGGCTGCAGCTCCTAAAAGGTTATTCTCAGGAAAGGTACGTATTAAAAACAAATAGCAAGCAGCAAGAAGTGTCAAAATGGTCTTCCAAAGCATAATGCAGTAAGCGGTGTAAGCGAAACAGGAGCAGCGGACACTTTCTGCCCCCTGCAGTTCCTACTGCTATCTGGATTTTTAAGACAGCCCTAGGAGGGATGGAACATTAGCAACCCAGAGACCCAACAATTTAACATCTGGCTCCCAAGCACCAACAGCCAAAACGGTTGGGTTTGCTTGTTGTTTTACAGCTAGGTTCATCTGAATAACAGTGAAATTAATCAATGCTTCCATTAATGATCAACTGCATATTGTGAACGTTTGCTGTGCCAAATGAAGGATGCAACTGTCCCTGGGTTTTGCAACAGAAAATGAGAATTACCTTCTACCAAACCTTTATTTGACCTCATTGCTTTGATTAGAGCTAAGAATGAGAATTCTCACCAAGAAATATTTGGTACCCTCACCACACCAGGGCTGTGCTCCCTAATACACGCGCACTGTGTGAATGTATACAGAGAGACAAATATGATCTTATGTAAAGGACAGTGGGTTATTTTCTAGTTACCACATTACGTGCCCAAAACCAGAAAATGCTGCTATGAAGTTTGATGCATAAAATACGTATGGGATAAACATGGAGAGCAAAGAAAAATTCCACAGGGGAAGGTTTCACATCCGTGTATAGGAGATAAGCACCATAGTCGTTCATATACTTCCTTCTACCTTTATGAACATAGGAACTTATCCCAAATCCAAGCACACAAAACACTTCCCTGTATGTGATGATTACTCCCACACATCTCCGGTTGGCCGAACTCAGAATCCAACTACTTTCAGACTGGAAATCTGCTTAAAAACAAAAGGCATTTTTAGCACGTATCTGGGAAAGGGATGCTTTTGATGAGATGATTTTGCAACCATCCTGTTCTGCCTTATGACCCTGCCTGTCCAAAGGGGTGAAGCTGGGAACACAGATTGATTACAATGAGCATTTATTGCCAGCTGTTTTTTGAGCAATAAGAAGCGCATCACTAGTGATAGATTTCAGCAGAAACCAAACTAACAGCAGACCAGGGCTGTAAAGGATGCTCCTCATTCAAAATAATGAAAGCTAAAGTGTTCACCTTGCTGATGAATTTTGGGTTTCCTGCTCCAATATAACACAACCCTATTTCTCTGTGACACTTTTTTACCTCGCTCTTTCTTTTCTTCTGCAGCACTTGTACGCATTCTCCTCTATTTAAGCCCTAAGTATCTTGTCCCACAAAGCCATCTGTATGCTGACACACCAAAGGTTAAATAAAACCAAATTCTGACTAACATACCTCACGACACTGGCTTGCAGCCGGTTAGCTCTGCAGAACACAACTTCAGCTGTACGTTGCAGGGCTCTCAAACAAGGGACTAACTTTGAAACTTCTCTTCAGCGATTCCATTTCCCACCCCCCTTTAAGTAAAACACCGCAAGATGGGATTCCCCGGGCACACACAGCAGGCGGCTCAGCCCCGCAGCCCAACGCACACCTCCAGCTCTTTGAGAGCTGCCCACAGCCCGGCAGGCCGTCCCAGACCGCAGTTCAGCCGCGCCGTCTCTTGCAGTCCCCTCCTCGGCCATTAACATCACCAGCCACAGAAATCTGCAAAGTCACTTGTTAGTACGAACTAGTTGGACGGCAACGGAGGGCAGCGGGAGGCTTCGGTTGGGCTCCTGGGCAGTGCGTTCACACGGCCGGGCCGGGTTTGCCGCACACAGGTGGGACGGGCACGTCTGCCCTCACCGCGGCGGATTGCGGCGCTGCGCAGCGCGTGCCCCGAGCGCTCGCACCCCCGGCTCGCTCCTTATCCCCCCTCCGCGCCCTACGCCCTCTCAGTTCCTCCTCTACCCCCCTCCCCCCCCAACCCTCCAACAATCCCATTTTGCAACCGGATGACCACCGATCTTCAAAAAAAAAGAAAAAGCAACCTATATTATATAGATGTATGTAAATAAACACCAGAAATGCCTCCCTCAACTCCCCCCCGCCTCTCTCAGCCATTGTGCCTCCTTCCCCCACTCCTCCCTGCGGCACAAAGCCCCGCCGCGGGCCGGGCCGTGCCCATCGCCCCGGGGCTCTCCCCTCCCCCCCCCCTCTCTTTCCCCTCCCCTCCCCGCAGCCTCCGCCGTGTTCCGGGAAAAGGGCTCCGCACCTCCGGGGGGCGGCGGCGCTGCGGAACGGCCCCGGGAGGGGGAAGGCGGCGCAGGGCAGGTGGCGGCGCGCGGCCCCAGCGCCGTGCCCGCACCGAGCCGTGCCCGCACCGCGCCGTGCCCGCACCGCGGGGCACCCACGGCCGCCTCCTCCTCCCACCCCCGCGACCGCGTGCCTGGAACCGCGGGCCCGAGGAGAGGAAAGGAGAGGAGAGGAAGGGAGTGCAGGGGGGTTGGATGGGGCCGCCCCCGGTACCTTGCGCTTCCTGGTCTCGGCCGAACCGCTCCACACGAAGCACTGGTAAATGGCCCTCAGGTTCTGCTTCCAGTTCTCCACCTTGAAGCCGGTCACATGGCAGCACCCGGCCGCCGGCGGACTCATGTCAGACCCCCCCACATCAATCCTCTCGCCGACGGGCCGGGCCGGCGGGCAGCTTGCCGGCCCCTTCCCCCCCTCGGCGGCGGCGGCCGCGCGGGCGCGGGCACGGCACGGGGCGGCCGCGCGCCCCCCCCAGGCACCCCACCCTCCCTCCCTGCCGCCGCCACCGCCCTCAGGGGCTGCGGCCCCTCCTCACGCCGCCTCCCGCCGCCGCCTCCGTTCCCGCGGGCTGCCGGGCGGGCGGCAGGCACATAGAGCCCCCGGCTCCGAACAAAGCGCGGCGGTGGAGGCGGCGGGCGGGCAGCGCTCCCCTCCCTCTCTCCCTGCCTCGCACACAAAGATGGGGCTCTCTCTGAGGCGGAGGAGGAGGAGGAGGCGGCGGCTGAGAGCGGCCGCTGCCGCCCCCGGAGTGGCCGCCGCTCCCTTCTACCTCATAGAAGCGGAAGGGAAGGAAGGGGGGTGGGCCTGGAAGCGGCGGCGGCGGCCCCGGTGCGAACGGAGCGCGTGTGTGGGGAAGGGGCGAGTCTCCGCCCGCCGCCGCTCCCTCTCCCCAGCCGGCCGCCCGCTCGGCTCCTGTCTCTTTAAACCTCTCCCCCCCGCCTCCTTCGCCGTCTCCTTCCTCCTCCTCTTCTCTTCCCGCACTCCCCCCCTCCGCCCGCCGTGTGCGATGGTCCGAGCCGCTAACTCAACCCAGCCCGCCGGGCCCGGAGTGGGACAGACCAACGGGGAAGGGGCGGTAGGCGCACCCCCGCTCTGCCCCGCCGCCCGCGAGGAGGGAGCCGGAGAGGGAGGGAAGGAATGCTGCGATTGGCTCGCTCGCCTGTCGCTCCGCCGCTGAAGTGCCCGTCTTTGGTGTCTCATTGGTTTATTTTCTTTTCTTCCCCTCCCCCCCTTCTCCCTCCACCCTTCCTCCCTAGCATTTCCCCCTACCGGAAAGGGGCGGGAACGGCTCTGTAAATTGACAGGTCATCTGACCAACGGGAAGAAAGGGCGGCACGTTTGCGAAGAGTGCCTCGCAGCGACTGGCCGTCTCCGCCGTCACTCTCGCTCCAAGATGCGAGCGGATTGGCGGCGGCGGGCTGTGGGGCGGTCCCACCCAGCGACAGCCTGGGCTCTGGGTGCAGCGGTGCTGTCACATCCGCTGATCCCGGCCGCTTCGATCTTTTACCTCAGTGATTTCCTGAGGGGCGGCGGCAGCCGGGTCGCTGCCGGGGCAGAGCCGCCTCCCCGCCTGATAGAAGCCCTGCGCCCGGGAGCCTCGGCACCAGCTGAGGGTTGTCCGGCCGCAGCGGCCAGCGCTCAGCTGAGGCGGTTCGGGGGGCAGCGCTGGGTGCAGCAGGCCGCGCCGCGCTGCGCTCCGCTCCTATCGGGAGCTGCCGCTCTCTCCTGATGCGTCCACCGAGAAGCAACGAAAGCGCTCCACAAAGCACCCGGTCACTAGAACCGGTGTTAGTGCAACGTTTCCTATTAAAAAGCCCTAGGAGGAAATGAGAAAACCGTGAAAAACACTGGGATCCTTACACAGCTCTCGTGTGATACACATGCTGTGGAGTTGTGTAAGAGCGGAGTGAGGCAAGAGGAGGAGATGGGAATGGAGCACTGTGAGAGCAGCTCTGTCACACCGGGCTCTTACACAACCCTGCGAGGCAGTGCTGTGGGGAAGGCAGCGCTTTTTTGTGCGCTCCTATCGACACCCTCTTTCAGGAGCTTTAACCTCGAGGTGTGCCAGGCAGATTTGTATCGGGTCCTCCTCGCTATCCTGCTCTATTGCTTCAATGTGCAGAACTCGTGAGGAGAAGCCATTGTGTCAAAAGAAATAGGCACAGAAACCCACCCCCTGCCTTGTGAGAGCCACCCAAACATCCCTCAGCGCAGAGGGAAGATAATCTTACAGCAAGCTGTATCTAAATGAATGGGATGGGTAATTAACGTCTTAACAGCACACAGTATTTATTCTAATGAATCTGAGTATCTTCCAATTAAACGAAACCCCCAATATTACTACAGTCTAAACCCAAGTAGAGGGTTATTCTTATTCTGCAAGAACTTGCTATTACTGATCTTGGGCTTTTCTCCATAGCTATATCAAAACAGGAGATAAAGATAAAAGAGAGAAATTCTGTCTGTGAAATTTAAGTCCATCTCTCCGAAGAAACAGGATATCAAAAAGACAATAGATGTGTTCAAAGCTTTGCAGATACCGAAGTTTTTGCTGAGATTTCTTTGCAGCTCTTTCTTGCAAAGTCATCATGTTTACTCTATGTAAGGTGCAGCAGCGTTTGTGTTATTCAGAAATAAAAATAATCATGTCTTTATAAATCATAATTCTTTCATTTTAAGAAGGGAGAACACCTGCAATTTGTTCTACTCACAAATAAATACTTCCTTTGGAACATACCATTTTTTCTCTCTGGACAGATCAGAAACAATTACAACAGTCAACCATCCCTGCTTCCTGAAGTTCCATGGCCCACCCCGAGGAGCTGCTGGGATTGGTGAAGCATTCTCAAAGATAACCCACAAGCACAAAATCCATCCTTAACCACAAATACTGTCACCTGAGGTTCTCCATCACATCCCAAAGGATGAATGTTGAAATTTTAAGATTGACTCCTAGGCACATTTCCACAGATAACAGACGATGCCTTTCAAACTTAAAGGTCCCCCCATAGTTTTTCTGGCATCTTGTTCTCCAGAAAGAGAGGGAGCTTTTTGAGCCAGAAATCTCATTTCAGGTTCACTCTGACAACGAATCGCTTTGGTACCAAAGCAGAAATCCATTCTAAAATTACACAGAAAAAGAATGGCTCTTAATATTTTCTGAAGCCAATTCCTTACCAGGGAGCCTGAACCAAGCTCCAGAAGGTATCAGTGTCATCAAGCCCTTTGCTTTCCATCTGGTGAAGACACCAGAATCTTTCCTGTGAAGAATTAAAATTTCATACTCTACAAATACCTCCTGATTGTGGCTGCCATACAGTGAAGGTGGCACGGCAGCAAAGCACATCAGTTCCAAAATAGGAACAGAAAATAGTTACATTTAGTCATGTAGTAATTTGCTAGATCAGGGCCTGCTTGCTACATACACACACGAGAGTTTATAAGTTTGCTGTAGTTTAATTTACTCTTGGGCACGGCTTGGGAATGTTTCTAGAATAAAACCTTTTGGTGCAGCAGATAGCTTGGGAAAGGATTTGCCTCTGGGGGCAGAAAACCATTTCAATCCCTCCTGCATCTCTTGGAGGAATTTTTAATTTTAAAGCACTGATGATTATGCTAACTAGTGCTTACCCCCAAATGACAATGGAATATAAATGTTGATAGTAGCTAAAACATACTGCAAACGTGCAGCTAAGTCTTCCTCCAGAGAGTCATCTGTGTTACATGATAGCTCAGCTGGGAAGATGCAGTGTGCCTCCACATGGGGAAGAAAAGCGGCTGTATCCTCAATCCTTGCCATCCCAAGGTGGCACTTCCAGCATTAATCAATCACTGACCTCGCAGCAAAACAGATTTATATGGTCCCAGCTCCACCACCCTCTCTAAAACAAAGATTTTGTTTTCAGTCCAGTCCATTGCTAAAAGCATCCGCCAGATTAGAGGCTTCCCCCTGCCTACATCTGAGCAGGGGGGGTGGAGCAGCTGCTTCAATCCACAACGCTCAGTGGCAACCAGTCCAGCTGCACAGGTCTGGCCAGAAGGATGCTTGTCAGTCCATGGAGCACAAAGATAGGTGGATTTCAGTGGGCTGAGCTGACTTAACGTTTCATAATCGACTTCTGAAAGTTTTCCCTTGGAATCACAGGCCCCTGTATTTCTAATTTAAACCTATTGACAATACACTTGCTTGTCTTCGTGATCTTTTGCAGGTCTCTCCAAAGCAGTGCATGGAATTCCAAGGATTCGTGCCCCTTAGGTAAAAAAAACAGTCCTAGAAAAGCAGAATGCCTGCACTTATTTTTCTGAGGATCATTTCTTAGATTTCCCTTTGGCACCATCATGGGATGAAATCTTGGCCCCAGTTGAGTTCAACAGGAATTTTGCCACTGACTTACATGGAGCTAAAATGTCACCCCTGCTATTTGTCAAGTCAGCTACGTCCAGACAATCCTGTAACATCTGACTTCAACCACACAGAAAAGTTCACTTCCTCAGTCTCTGAAGACAGCACAGCATTGTCGATCTCATTAAAAAACAAGACATTTATTCCTGGCAAGCTGCTTTTAACAAGGAGGGGTCCATCCAGTGCAACCACCAGAACCACCTCTCCGTTCTGTACCATACAGCTATTGGCCATTCACTTGTAAAAGTCACTGTGCTGTAAAACCTTTGTTTATCATATCAGCCCTCATCTGTGGTTTCCCACAGACACAGGGGGGTTTTCACCCCATTCATCTCCTGTTTTCCAAGCCACTGCAAGGTCCATTTCTAGGTTAGATAGCAGCATCTAAATCCCACTCAGCTTTTGTGATCAAAGGTAAGGCTGAAAGATAACTGATCACAGGAGGACAACTGATGTGAGCTACTTTCCCTCTCTAAAAACCCTGAGACAAGGGTTTTATTGCAAAATATCCAGGCCGGGTCAGCCACAAACGGGGTCCATCTTTGTCATGGCCATAAAAATAAAGCTATCACGTTATTTGACCAGAAGATACTTTCAAAGTCTATTCAAATGGGGAAAACCATCAGATGATGTCTGAGAGAGAGGAAACATATGAAGAGAGGCTCTAGAAAGGGACCTGTACACTGCTGCTCCCCACCCCAAGTACTGGGGAGCTACCATGCTGCACACCTGTGTGAGAGCAGCTTCCTTCCATCTTCTTCTTCCCCTGGGAAACAAAAGCAAAATCAGTCTCCACTATCTGATGAGCCTTAATTCTCAGCACTTAAATAATTAGCTTCTCAGATGTACAAAAACAACTCTCATTTTCTGGATTAGTGAAGGAAGCTGGGTTCCACTGAGCAAAGCTATTATGGAGCTGCTAATGCATGGTTTCATCGCCTGCCACTAAACACAGAGCAGTGTGGCTCCGGGGAGAGCAAGAACACAAGGAGAGCAGTGCTGCAGGGTTAAAGTGGAAGGCAGCAGGGGAAGCACTGGCAATAGAGGCAGTTGTGGTTTATGGCAGGAGGATGGCTGGCTTCGCTTGTGTGCCTGCCGAGTTTTATCTGGGTTTCAAACGATTACATAGAGCCCAAAAGAAGACAAAGCACAAGGAGATGATATTTGCTTTAAACGCAGACCCATTAAAGGCAGTTTCCCAAAGCAGGGTAAAAGAGATGGAACATGCTCAGAAGCTGAATCCTTTGGAAGCCATCTGGAACTTCTGCTCAGGTTCAGCAACTCCAGCAGCAGAGAATGGCAGAGCTTCAGTGCAGCCTTTCACATCTGTAAGGCTACAGGGATACTGGCACACTCTTGCCCTCCATGCTCTTTTGACTTAGGAGTTCATGGGAAACTGACTGCAAAGAGTCAGTCTTTTTCCACGTCTCACCTGGCAGGTATGGACATATAAACTCTTCAGAACAAAATCTTAATTTATACCTCGGCACACGAGTGGTGACTTTTTCATAACCAGATGGAAAAGGGGCTGAAAAAAACATCAGAAAGAGCTGCTTTGCTTTGTTCTGGGAGACTTAAACGTAGGCCCTATTAGATGAACAATTCAACGCTATTAGGGCTGTTCCTTCTCCCTTCTGCTTAACTCTTTTGCTGCCCCGCTCCAGACTTTAAGATCTGTTTCACACAGGCTTAACCAATAGCCTACACCGAATCTCTGGTGTGGTACAGGGAAGGGAGAACAGAACAGAGATTGCATAGGAAATCAGGGCTTTTGAGCTTTAACTGCAGCTATTTGACAAATGCAAAGTCATGCAACTTCTCACACACCAGGAGCTGGAAAAGCTTGAAACTGTTGATTTCATTGATTTCTTTACATTCTTCAGCATCAAAAATCCCTTCAGGACATGTCAGTCATTCTCCCCCACTCATCAGTACACACAAATCAGTGGATCAAAGTACCTGTAGTTCTGGATGTGGATTTAGGACTAAACACCTTCTGACAGCGAAGTTCTTCCAACTGTAGCTTCAATAAGCCTTAAACTTCTCACATCTGTCACACCTTTCCAAACAAAATGAAACTACTCAACGCTTTTGACCATCCATAAGAAAAGCCTGAAATTGCAATGGAAAGCCTGGGTTAAAGAAGAAAATCTGGTGAAGACACACAGATGGGAGATTAGTGAGGAAATCAATGAAACCATGATGGTTTATGCAGCAAAGTTTGCGCCAAACTGCTGTTCAGAGCCAGGCAGCAGGGGCATAAGGCACCTGCAGACAGATGCTGCAGAACCTCAGCACCTTCCCCAAGAAAGAGTGGCTCTCTACAGGTGACTGTAGAGAACTTAATCCTCTCTGAAAATGCAGAGATGCTGCTGCTGATGTCAGGGCTTGTTGGACCACTGACTTCTGAGGAGTTACAACCCCTGTAATTTAGCCAAAGCAATCAGGAAATAATTATGTACAGTGGAGAATTAAAAGATGGTAATTAAATTGTACAAATAAATAACTGGAGTGACTAAAAAAAGTCTACCCAAAGCCTCCTTTTGAGCAGTATTTAATGTAAATGAATCACTTAGTGGACAATACAACAATCATCTGTTCAGCTTCTATTCATTATCAAAAACAATACGGAAGGATTGGCAGGGAGCAGCCGTGTGCCAGAGGGAGCCCTTGAGGAAATACCACAGAATCTGGGCTGACTTTTGTCTGTTCTTCTATTGTTCCCTGACAATGCTTTGCTAATGAGTGTCCAACCACGTCATTTTGGTCACCACCTCCCCTCCTTATTTATTTATTTTGCCCAAACCAACTCAGTAGTAATACTGGCTTGTCCCAATGAGCTGAAATGCTTGTTCACGTTAGGGAGAGTTCCATCCTTAGGTGTGAGTTGTGCTGAGGCTCAGGAGCTGAGAATGCATGGCCTCAGGCAGCCTGGAAAATCCCACAGTAAGCAGTCCACCAAAATCCTTTGATTTGGGCAAAAACCCATGAAGTTTTAAAGGAAAAAAATCACGTACCTTTGAAATTTCAAATGCTTATTGAATTCAGCATTGGAGCTGTGTGCTCAATTCATCTTTCGTTGCTCGGTTTGAAATTATGCTAACTTCATTCTTGGAAATAAGCTGCTTTTCAATAGGGCGTACTTGAACCAATTGCACCCAACATTATCTTGGGTAGTTATCTGCTAGAGCCTGTAAGCTAACAGGAATCCTCATTCAGCATCTGGAGAGGCAAAGTACCCTGCAGCACTGCTGGTTCAACTCACCGACCACAGCAGAAGGAAACTCACTGAAGTTCTCCGAGATGAGAAAAAAGGGCAACAAAGATAAAGAGTGGGGCAGATAAACAGGCTATGCTGCTGAGAAATAGGCATGTGGAACGGCACCCAGATCTGACTTCCCAAGGTTGTCTCTAAGGCCATGATGCACAGGGTTTGCTTTATTTTGTCTTAAATGAAATCTTAAGCTCTGCAGCAAATCTTCTGCAGCCAGTGTTGTGTTGGTTTGTTGGGGTTTTTCTTTGCCAAATCCGGTGACGACAGTATGTGGGCTTCTAGTTAACACTACCTAAAATTTGAGATATAAATGCACACTTCATAAATTCCTGTTACTAGCTCAGTTTTCTAAAGTGAAACAGACAGAGATGGCACCAAATTCCCTAAGGCTTACTCCTGCAAACTCCCCAGCAAGCTGCCTGCGTCGCTCAGCCTGTAAGTGGGGAGCTTTACTCACTGCATGTATTCAGCACCCCACTGAATGGGGACTCAAGAGGACTGCAGCTGGCTCACCACGCGACCATTCGTGGTATTGCTGTCTCCAGCTTCCACCTGCCCTTCGGCTGGAGGTCAGTAAGGCCGAAGCAGAGGCTGTAAGATGAGTTGCACGACTTCTCTGTGGCCACCGCAGTCGGCTGCTCAGGATATTAACAGCCAGCTAGCTGGCAGGCAAGATGGGAATGGCAGCACAAAGCCCAACCTGCCACTGCCAGCACTGGGCACAGACCAGTGGTGCTCGGCTCAACGTGCACAACTCAGCACCTACAAGGCAGGGCTGCCATGCACAGTGTGGAGATGCACGGCTGCCAAGGGCTGCAGCAGGAATCCTGCATGTCACCCTTTGAATAAACATTCCTACCCCTGGACAGGGTTGGGAAGTGAGAACCACTGCTCAGCTTCTGGTAACAACAGCTCATCTCACAAGACCACTGTTACCATTTGTATTAATTGATGCTTTTCACAGAAATCTCTATTAAAACAAATAAACAATCTCAAGGATCTTTTTGGAAGGAAATAGCCTGCTTATATTAACATACAGTACATTAAAGGTATCATCCTAGGTATCATCCCTACTGGGATACACTGAGAAGAAACCAGACTAACTGACTTACTTTGTTTCATAAACTTCCCCTGAAATATATATATATATTTATAAAAAAAGCAACAGTATAATTCTGCTCCTCCTTGCTCTGGTAAAGAGGTTTTTTTTTCCTGTTGTTAGTCCCTCGTGTGGTTGCTTAAGTCAGGTCTCACTGTAATTACATACCTCACAGCAGTGCAGGGAGACTTAATTAAGAGAGTCACTGTAGGTTCGCTGTCAGATACGACCCAGTCCTGTCGGGAAGGCGCTGGGATGTGGCTGCAGCAGGTATGTTCCAGCAGACAGCTGAAGTTTGCAGCGGGTTTTGCCATCCTCCTGCAGAAAGCAGCCCAGACACACCCAGCCTGCATGCAAAACCCCTCGCCTCCACCATCAGGGAGCCCGTGGTTTTCAAAATCCCTCTGTGCTCACCAGGAGACGCTCTGCCACACCGCAGGATTTCAGATTCCCTCCCCCCCCAAGCTTCAAAAAGTGTGACTCACCAGTTTCAAACGGTGACATTTCATTCCCAACCTATTCTGGGAGCAGCTGGCTTTGTAACACATGGGGATGTGGGGAGAAGGGAGGGAAGAGCCAGATTGAAAGAAGCAAAAAGCACTCATTCTCTCCCCCGCACAGGTATGTTGCTTCTCCATTCCAGAACCACACAATTTGGGACGTGCTGGCAAATTTCACTGGAGGAAAACAACACAACAAGCACATTGCAGAGAAAAATATCTGTACAAGCAGTGATGCAATTTGCTGTCAGTCAGGAGGGACTCTTCAAATCCCATAGACGTGAGGAAATGCACTGTCCCCACTCCTCATGAGCTGAGCCCTGCAGTCCTCGATTGCTCCTTCAAGCAGACTGCGATACAGACCCAGGCTTTAGTCTTCAACAGTACCTTACTAACGATGAACAAATGTACGTGCAGTGGGGAAGATGACAACAGGGGAACGACAGAGAAATCACTGTCAGCTCCTGGTCCCCAGAGCAGTTTTGTGTCACACTCCTCTCACGCATAGCTTGTGTCTCTGCTGCAGGGACGTCACCACCATAAGAACAACACGCAGCACGTGAGCACAGGGCTGCTGCAGGCTCTGGCCTTGCAGGCTTGCTGGCACACACACAGCACTGCTGTCACCGGTGCAGTGCCAGAGGCAGGAGCTCAATCTCCGACCATAAATCCACAAACGGCTGCCTGGCGGCACAGCGGTGCTCCAACCCCATTCATTAACAGTTGTAAAATTCCACGGGGAGGGAGCCGGCCGTGATGCAACCTGATGGGAGCGGGGCGCAGGTCTGCAGCGTGCGGCTCAGCCGGGCACCGGCACTGCAGGGAGCACTGAGCACAGCAACCCAAGGCAGCTGCAGGAGGGCGGGCCGGGGGGAGCTCCAGCAGCACAGCGTGATGACACGCAGCACCGCGCGCCCCGCTGTGCCTCTCGCTGCTCCTAACAGAGCCCCGTGCATGTCTGCGCAGGAAGCGTTTGATTACAATTCCATTCACCTCCTTCGCTGCCTTTTAGACCATGGAGGGCTGCGCGTGTGGCTCCCTGCAGCAGCGTGGGACCTGGCGTGGGCAGATTCACTCCTGTTCTTTACCTGCGGAAGCCTCGCGGTGCTCATTCAGGGAAGAGGAGCTGGCTGGCTGCGTGGCGCTGGCATGCAGCAGCAATGACCTTGGCTAGGTAACTATCTACTGAATACAAAATAGATATAAAAACAGCAATTCCTTCTTTAAAAAAAACCAAACAAACAAAAAACCAAGACCAACCAATGTGCTGCTAAGGTGAGGAAAGGCTGTGGTTTGTTAAATAAATGCATCTGTCAGAGCTGGATTTTTTTTTTCTCCCCAGCTTCCCTAAATGCCCTTCACCAGCAGAGAGGGGGAGGGGACCTGCTCTTTGAAGCCTTTTCCTTATGGGAATAGAAAACACGGAAAGAATTCAATTCTCTGCCACAGCCCGGCAGCACCGATCCGTGCGTCAAGAGCCCAAGCCCAGCCACAGCTGGCTGGTGGGAGCTGGGAGCAGCACTGCCAGATGAGCCTCACCCAACATCCAGCATCGTTAAGTGTCCTCCGTAGTGTTACAGCACAGAAAGAGCAGAGGGAGGAATGGAGACAGGGAGCAGAAATAGAGCAATTCTGTGCGGAGCGCTGCAGTTATTCGTACCTTTGATCAAAAGCACCATCTAGTGAGAAAAGGGAACACTGCAACTGACACTGCTCTGCTCGACGACAAATGGAATGTGACTTTGGCCTGCTTGAACACAAGTAGCACCATGCACTCTGCTGTGCCCGAGTGAACAAGAGAGCGTTCAGAAATTACTGTGCTCTGCGTAATTATTTCTCCAGTGGAAATGTGTCCTCTTCTTCCCCTCTCCTCCCACCTGAGAACTCAGCCTCCCTAAAGCCAGCAAGGCGTGTGGCACTACAGGAAGAGAAAGATTTCCATGTTGCAATTCGAGAACTAAAGCAAAGTGAAGGTGGGTGAGCAGCCCAAGGTCGTGCAGGAAGCCAGAGGCAGATCCGGGAATAGAGAGCAGCAGCCCTGGATGCAGAGCAATGCCTGAACAATAGCACAGCACTCGCCCTCTGCTGTCTTTAACTCTTTCCTACCTCACCAAAAAGCACAGCAAGGGCTGAGCAGGCACTCCTCTGCATGTGTGTTTGCTGCCTTGCAGGACCAGCCCTCAGACCTCACTGCTTGCACCACACCAAGACAAAGAGGGAAGGCGGCAGGGATTGGCAGGGTTGGGTATCCTGAGGTCAACAAGGCTGATACTTCTATACAGCAACCACAATTAGAACCTCTTCACGGGATCGGTACCTCAGCATTGCCATGTCTTCACTTCCGCACGTGACAAAACATCACGGTCTCCCTCAGAGGCATTCAGTTCATTTCAAACAGTTGTGCTACGTTTTATGATTGTCAGTGCAGGAGGGGCAGATCTCAGTGCTCCCTCTTCCCCAGCGTTTGGGTTGGCCGCAGAAGTCAGGAGTTTGCAGCACAACCACATAATGTATCTGCAGGCTCAGTAAGTACACTTTTTTCATAGCAAGCTTGGAAATGCTGCAGTGCAGTGCCTGGAAAAGGCAATAATTACGAATAACTGGAACCAAATCACACAGAAATGAACTTAAAAAAAAAAAAAAAAAAAAAAAATTCAGGTGGTGCAAAAACCTGTAGGGCAGTGAGCTGAACTGGAGCAGAATTCTGCCAGAGAGGAGTGAGGGGCTACAGCCCAAAGCCTCCCCGAGAGCTCTCTGAAAGGAGCCCAGAGCCCAGGTCCCAAAGGTTCCAAATCAGAACTGTAACCTGAGCAAAAAGCAAAGGGGCAAAAAACACAACCACCTTCTTGGGTCCACTGCCCAGAAGGGACACAGACATCCTAGGCTGGTTTTTAGGTGCGACCAAAACTCAATCCATGCAAACAGGGAGGGAAAGAGGAGACTGCTCCCTTGCTTCAGAGGCTGTGACAAGAAAATCTTTCATTATGCCACAGCTCTTTGAACATTTACATTTTCCAACCAAAGGCACTGTGAAATTGGGAGCTCTCAGTTCAAACTAGTTCATGGATGTTTTCCCCTGGAGGTTTTGTTCCCCTGTGGGGACTTCTGCACGGCTCTTTGCTGCTAGGGAAAGCATCCAGAGCTCTTCTCAAAAGAGAAGCTACACCCCGTGCCCCTTGAAAAATAGGTGACAAATAAGAGCCTGGAAGAACTAGAGCACAAAATTGTTGCCCTAGAGAATGGGGTTAAAAGGCTGAAGATTTGCACTCAGCGATGCCTGCAGCAAAGCAGATGTGACCGAACAAGTGCAAACAGCTCCTAGAGTTTGGAGATATTTTCCCTCAAAAAAAAAAAAAGAGCTCCCACACTTCAGGAGGGCAACAATAGAACAGCAGGATGTTTGCTAAGGAAGCGTTAAAATGCTAAAAGGATTCCAGCCCTCTGCAGTTCTAGGCTGACACAGCGAGAAAGAGAAGAAAAGAGGAGACAATGAGTGCTAATAAAAACAACAGGCGTCGTTTTAAAAGACTACACCAACATTTAGCATTCAGGCGGCACGGTCTCCGGAACAAAAGCCCCAGGTTCAGGACAGACTCCTCTCTAATGTTCCTGAGAACAAAGGCACGTTGACACGAGTTACTCATCTCACCAATATGCAATTTGTGAATCAGCAGGTTTAAATCAAAGGTGAGCTCGTTGCTAATTACATAGATCAGGTTCATCTACTAAAACAGATCCCAATCAAAGCAACAAAATCAAGACTTATTCTAATGAATTTTCTTCTCTAATTGCAAATCTAGTCTGACTAACCCCCTGCTGCATGACTCTCCACGCAACCACTGCAGGGCAGTTGCTTTCAATCAACTTCCCCAGCACCTGCCAGTCTGGTGACACTGACTATTACCTGCTAAAAGAAATGAGCTGGCAGATACCGGGTAAGTTAGCCCAGGAGCCTGGACGTCAGGCAATTGCTGTCCTGTAAGAAAGACAGTGCATCACTCTACAGTTCATCCACTTTGGGGAGAAGGATGGTTTGAAATTTTTTTGTTTTGTTTTGTTTTTTTTTCCTCCAGCTCTGATTTTCAGGAGACTGAACAGACCACAGCTTCCAGTCAGGCTGCCGTGACACAAAGCAACTGCTTCTTGGCTTTGTTCTTCAGTTTAATTTACATAAATAAAATTATTGACTCCTTCCTTTCATTCCACAGCGGCCCTAGAGATAGAAAACTGTTACCACCATCAGACCCCTTGAAATGTGACTTTTTAGGAAGATCCCAAATTCTTCTTTTTCCACTACTATTGATCCATTATTAATGGTAAACACACTGATGTGAACTCAGGCTCCAGCGTATTTCCCTTAATGCAGAGGAACAAAACAGTGTTATCCGATGTAAACCATGCTTCAAATTGCTGTCGTGAAACCCTACTGTTTATCTCAGGGAAAGACGCCCAGGATTACCTGCCTTTGTCTCTGGATTGCCTCTGTCAATGTAGCTTCTGCTCACGCATCACCACAGGGAACAGAAAAAAGCACCGGTTTGAATGCAGGCACCGTTCCCGTGGTGCAGGAGGTCCTCACAGTGTTCGGTCCCTCAGGCCTTTGGATCCCAAAGGCACGAGCAGCGTTGTGCTGTCCCCTGGCAGCACTCCATGGCCTGCTGACAGCGCCATCACTGAACGAGGATGCGTGAAGCTGTCATTCAGGCCCCACTTTGTCACCAAAACTGCCTGTGAGCATCCCTACAAAGAGCCCGTGCAGGAGCTGCAGTTCTCTCTGCTGTCATGGGATGCTGCAGGAATTCAGCACCCACCATTCCTCGCTCACACACTGCATCATTTCTCCATTTTCAGTCTTCACACAGAGGGGTTAAAGAACCGAATTTAGATCTGTGTTATCAGCCAAGCACGTAGCAGCAGTGTGAGCTCACGAGGGACCACCTGCCCCGTTCAGGACATTCCCCTGACGCCCAGCTCAGCGTTCAGAACAGCCCCATCTCTCTGCCTTGAACCCAAGAGCAAACAGGCTCAATAGAACCGTTCGTGGAGCCAGGTAGCGCTCACCTTCCCATTTTCACCCGTTTCCCCATCTCTGGCCTTCCCTGGCCCACGTGCGAGCAGTTTCGGCACATCCCAGTGACGGGGGCAAGGACGGAACGGACGGAGCCCCGCGAGCAGCCCAGCGGGGCCGGAGGCGGAACGCTGCGCTGGGAGCGGCGCTGCTCGACCGGACCGCACACAGGGGGGGACCATTGGTCGAGCACCGCCCATTCCGCGTTACCACTTCCGGGTCGCCTCTCAGAGGAGCAATCGGCCATTGGGCAGCCTACCAGAAATCCCGCCCCTCCTGAGGGCCGTACCATGCGTGCAGTACCGCGGCACTTCCGGCTGTGGCCATGGTGACGGGGGCTGCCAGGTACGCGCCGTGCCCTCACTATTTCCCCGGGGCTCCTCCTGTCCCTCCAGCGGCCGGTCAACTCAGCTCCACAGGGCGAGCCGCGGGGCGACTCGGAGAGGTGGAAGCGGGGCTGCGTGGAAGCGGGGCTGCGTGGAAGCGGGGCTGCGTGGAAGCGGGGCTGCGTGGAAGCGGGGCTGCGTGGAAGCGGGGCTGCGTGGAAGCGGGGCTGCGTGGAAGCGGGGCTGCGTGGAAGCGGGGCTGCGTGGAAGCGGGGCTGCGTGGAAGCGGGGCTGCGTGGAAGCGGGGCTGCGTGGAAGCGGGGCTGCGTGGAAGCGGGGCTGCGTGGAAGCGGGGCTGCGTGGAAGCGGGGCTGCGTGGAAGCGGGGCTGCGTGGAAGCGGGGCTGCGTGGAAGCGGGGCTGCGTGGAAGCGGGGCTGCGTGGAAGCGGGGCTGCGTGGAAGCGGGGCTGCGTGGAAGCGGGGCTGCGTGGAAGCGGGGCTGCGTGGAAGCGGGGCTGCGTGGAAGCGGGGCTGCGTGGAAGCGGGGCTGCGTGGAAGCGGGGCTGCGTGGAAGCGGGGCTGCGTGGAAGCGGGGCTGCGTGAGCAGTGTGTGTGCCGGGATTTGGGAGTGGGAGAGAAGCCTCGAACCGAATCAGAGAGGCGGGAAGATTTGTGCCAGAACGACTTGTCAAATACACAGCGCAGCTCCTAGAAGCATCTTTTACCTCTCTTTCTGTAACACTGAGCAAGGATGCTCTATAGATAACAACTTCACATCATATTCATGACCACGTTCAGTTATCGTTGAAACACAGCAGATCTTCTACATTGTTTCAGGTAACAGCCCTCAGCACATTGAGGCTATGCTGTTAGAAGTTAACCCTGACTATTGGAACACGAGTTCACCCACCTGGGCACACCTCAGGCCATTGTTTGCCCCTTGGTGCCATCAGCTCAGAGCAGAGCTCACAGCTGCAGAGCCCTGCCTGCTCCGTGGCACTTCTACAGCTACCATTGCTGCTTCTGATAACTCCAGCTGGGTTCAAGCATTCTTCTTCCTCCTAAACCTCTTCCGCCCCCCACATGAAGGAGTTCAGGCTGAGCAGTTCTATCCTGCACCTGGATTCCTTCTTAATATTTGTATTTTTGTTGTGATTTTCTGTTCATAAGAGTAGAAGCGAGCACTGCAAGCACAGATTGGCATTCCATTAATTCAACCATTTGAACGGAGTCACTGTTTTTTCCTCATTAGACTTGAGCTGAGGTTTCTGAAACTTGTTCTACCATTTATGGGGATCTTTCGCATCAGAAAAATTGTCAGCGCTGTTTGTTTATATTTAATCACTGATTTTCTTTCTCTCTTTTCCCTCCTATCCTAAACATCTAAGTTTGATTTTAGTTTCTTTCTGAAGTAGTCAGGTCGCTGAAGATGTTTAAGCAACGCAAGTAGTTTTCAGTTCTTTTGGCTTTAAAAAGATTTAACAAGTTTGGTCAGTGGGACAAAACAGCCATTTTAGAGCATACGCTATTGCAGTGCCATAAAGGGATGATAATAACAAGGTGGCAAAGCCTTTACCTACAGCAAACAAGAGCAGGCCTAAATACAACAACCACAGATACAGAAACAAAGAAAAAGAGCTGCTTACCTTTAGGAGATCTCAGGTAGCAGGAATCTCCAGCAAGAGATACTCTCACCTTCATTGCCACCCCTTAAATGAGGTCTGGGAAGGGGTGGATCCTGGCTCTACCCTTCCAGTCACTCAGATGCATTGCACACACCTGAGCTCCCCTGGGTTGGCCCTGCCTTTCCACCAGGTGCTCAATCACTGCTTCAGGCCCTGACTCAGCACTGCCACAGCTATAAAATCAGAGTGTCTTCAAACTGATTCAAGTAGGAGTTACTTTTTTTTTATTATTATTATTATTTTATTTTTCCCCCCCTTTCTTGGAGGGTACATAAAGAATATTTAGTGAAGGCTCTGAAGTCAGCACTGGAGATTATGAGATTATTTAACACTAGAAATAATCAGATGGTCATCAAAAGTTTTACCTTTTCAACACAGCTCTGTTTCTTTCATGTATGGGTTAAGTTACCCCCAGGTTTCAAAGGTCACAGAGCATACTCCTGAGGCTTGTTTTTAGAGGCTGTGCCTGCATTGGGCAGAGCACATTTGCTTGGACTGCTGCCATTTTGTAATTGAAGTCAGATCTGTCCTGTGAAAAGACCAGAAGGAGACACCACCTCATAGAGGCTCTGGCAAGTGAGGCCCCTTCAAAGGTACGATATTGTGCTTTCTTCAGGCTAAAGTGGGTCAGTCGTGGCTTAAAGCTGCTGTGATTCTGGATGAGTTCTTAGGAAAAATGATTTCTTTTTTTCCTTTCCTTTCCTGAGCTCCCTTTAAATGACACCTTTTGATTTCTGAAAATAGCCTCCCAGTTGCTGTCATTTGTCATAATGTGATTCTAGGTGGCCAAAACTGAAGGAGAATAGATCTTGTTTAAGGAAACTATCAGGGTTTTGATATATATATATTTTTATTAGCACTTGTTTTCACCTTTGCTGCCTTTAGTGCACTTCTGACGTTACTGACCTCCTTTTTTTTCCTCTGAAATCCTCCTAGCTTTTACAGGATAACACTCAGCTTTTGTTTTAAGGGGAATGTTTTTCTTAACAGATGTATGTGATTTATTTTACATGAAGCCTTTCCAACAGTTTCCAGTCATCTGTATTTGGTTTTCTATTATCAGTGATATTTTTTCTGCTCTCTAAATCTGTAAGTTCCAATCCTGTGTCTTGGGGTGAAGAACTGAGAATTTCAGTTCACTTGAACCAACAATGAGCAGCAGCTTCTCTCCTGCAGATAACTTGATATCATTCTTAATGGCAGTGCTTGTAAATAACAGATCCTTGCTTTTTTTCAATGCAAATAGCCAAACTTTTGAACCTGAGAGCAAAGGAAAACCTGTTGCTTTTGGTTTGAAGTGTTGAAGGAATTCTTTATTCTTTGCTAAACAGTTCAGCTGTAGGTTCTCCTCCTTCTTTTCTCCTTTTAGCTTGACTGAGCTTTATTTGTTCTGGGGCTCTTTTATGGAGCTGTTTGAGCACCTTCCATGACAGATACCTACAGCTGTATGACCTAATTAAGATCTACCTTTGATTAGCTGTTCTTTCTCACTCCTGCTCTTCATTCAGTCTTCCTCATCCTCTGCTTCCCCTCCCTTTACACACAGGGAGTGATCTGTTGTTTCAAACCACAGAACTGGGTTGTAGCTGCTGATTTGCTGCGACCTTCAGGCAGAGATTGGCAAATCTGCCCCATTCCTGTGTGTGATATGAACAAAAAGAAGAGGAAGAAAAGCAGTAAAAGACTTACAAAGATTTTCAAACAGAGAAGATTAAATGCAGACCTTTTCTATTCAGAAAGGAGATGAACAATGAACAATATGAGTAAGGAATAACATAGGCAGAACTGATTCACACTGATGAGTGATGGATGCCACATCACCAAAATGCAGTTGGCTTTTAGCTGATGGGCACGGGGGTCCTTTTCCACCAGCCCCTGTGACAGAGTTGGTGTGAATTCAGTCTGCACTTTGCCAAAGAACAGGAAGGAACCACACTGAAATCAAACACGGGAGCCTCTCTCACCTCCTGCTGTGGTTCAGTGAGGACAAGAGTCACAAAAGCTCCTGGTCAGCTTCTCGTCTGCTCTGTGCTGCTGTCTGCATTTTGCCAAAATCTGAAGCAGTGTTGGTCAGGGCCAGGTTTTAAATGTGCCCAGTTTCAGTTGGGCTTCGTAAAGGAGCTGCCACCCTTCCTGTCAGCTCCTGCTTTGGAAATAATTAAAGGTCTTAAAAGGGAGCTGAATATTTTTGACTCCAGGATGGCCCTGTAGGGCACACTGGTCAATGTCAGCACCTGCTGTCCATGCCCACCTCTTGTCTTCTGAATCTCAAGAGACCCTTCAGAGCAAAAAAGGACAATTTGAAGAGGCAGCTGCTTTAAATGCTTTAAGCAGCACCTCCTGCTCATCCAGCCTAAAGAAGGGCAGTGACCTTATGTCTTAACAGCTCTTTTCCGAGGATTATTTTGTGCACTCTTCTCATTTTAAATCTGCCTTCTCCTGTAAATCAATACAAAATAGCCACAGTGCTTGCACACTGAACACCAAGAGGTGAAGAAATAAGATGCTGAACAGCTGGGTGATGTGCTTGTGCACTGCCTTTCAGTGGGATGAATTTCATCCCCCTTCTGGGTTTCTGATTTCCACTTTGGGCACATCCCTGTGCCCAAGGGAGCCCACGGCCTGGATATCTGCACTGTTACACAGTGAAGTGCTTTGTACAGATGCATGAGTTAGCTCGGGAGTGGGAAGCTCCATAGTAGCACGAGAAAAGCTGTGTACTAGTTTGCTGGTTTTTGTTTTAGGCCTCATCATGCCTGTTTAGAGCTAGCTTAGATATCTTTCTTATTTTACACTGCTCTAGCTATACCTCTGGAAATACCTGATGGTTCCTTACTGGTTCAGCAAGGGAGCTTTATAATGGTCTTTATAACAGTCAGAAGCACGCAGAGATATATCCCAGCCCTGGAGAGCTTTAAATCTCAATACACAGTTGTACAAGGAGGGAATTCAAGGCAAAACAGAAAAGCCTGTGGAAACAGCATCTGTGGATCCAGGTTTGTTGCATGACAAGGTCCAACTTACAGGATCCAACAGCAAACGTCCTGCTGAAAGACCATAAGCCAGCTGAAAGACCTTGTAATGGAAGTGAACACATGTTCATATTTGTATTGCTGTAATTGGGTACTGATGTGATCTTCTGAAAGTCTAGCCTCTAGGCCATGCATCCAACCTGCTTGTTTTATGTTTTAATAAAAGGAATATTTTAAAAAGGTTTTGTTACTTACATACATTAACTACATTACCTACTTCATGCAATTTCTCTTCCCTCAGTGCAGCCCAGGCAAACCATTGGACAGCCATGCTCTAGATGCAGGGCTGAGGGAAATCAGTTGAAAACGAATGGGATTTGGTTTATTGGTGGTGTGAGGCAGGGCTAGGTGAAAGCATTTCCCGAGTTTTCGAGCCTCTGCTAATTCTCTTATTGGTAAAACAGTCCGTTTCCTTCACCTAGGAAGGCTGTTCAGAAAGGAAGACTCATGGACCTCACATCCACTGTCATCATCCCGCTGCTTTTTGGCAGCCTGGGGATCTTCTCCCTTTTCCGGCTGCTGCAGTGGATGCGGATGCGCGCTTACCTCCGAGGAGCAGTGGTGGTGATCACAGGGGCCACCTCTGGCCTGGGGAAAGGTAGGTATGGACAGCAGGGTGCCAGAGGGACAGGGAGCTGTGGGAGGGTCCTGCTGGAATAGAGCAGCACTGAGTTCCTTTAGTTTTGAGCTGGTACAGCTGTGGCAGTCACAATTCTGGTGCAAAAAAAGTCCCAGCATTTGTAGAGGAGAAATTCTGACCACGCTGCATAAAGCAGAACCATCAAAGTAAGAAGTGAGCTGTGCCTCTTTGTGCATCCAGGGGCCTTTTCTGTAAATGTTGAAGAAGCCAAGAAGTCAGACTGTTTCTCTAAATCTTCCCAGGAATTAGCATTCTGCACTTGCTGTTGCATTTTGGGATTCCCTGTCATCTTTTTCCCTCACCCCCAAGTTAATGCACCTTTTCTCTTCTGGTATAAATCCATCTACTTAATTTAAAAACTCTTGGCAATATTAATTCAACCTTTTTCCAAATAACCTCCCCTCCCCCCTTTTTTTTCTCCTCCAAATCAAACACTTTTTTGTGTGTGTGTGTGTGTGAGTGGATACATTTCTAACTCTGCTTTAATTTAAATAGAATAATTGCTTTAAAAAGCTTCTTGAAGGGAAGAAAGCGCTCTGCTATCAAGGCCTTTCATTAGGATGAGTACACCTAGAGAACAAGCAGAGCTTAAATTGAAGCTGCATTTGCTTGTGAGTTTGTCCTTAAGAACAAAGGTGTAACTGAATGGCGAGGAGATGGATCTGATTTCTCTGCCTGTCAGAACCAAAAGGACGAGAGCAGAAAGATGATTTTTATTTCTCATCCAAATAGCTGGTATCCCAAGGCAGTACCTCAAGGGAGACCTTCCAGCTGTGATACGCTGTGCAGACGAAGTGTTGCTGGCTGTTCCTTTCCACTCTTCTCCTCAGGGATAACAAACCACTGCCCTTGACCCTTGCTAGCTAAAGGGTTTCAGCCTATGAGATGTTGCGTGGATCTGCTGTTTGTCTCTGGCATTCAGATGCCCACTTTTTCTCTTTTTCTTGCTTCTTCCCAAGAATGTGCAAAGGCCTTCCATGCAGCTGGCTCCAGGCTGGTGCTCTGCGGCAGAGACAGTGAGAAACTCAAAGACCTGGCACAGGAACTTTCTGCCATGACCGATCACCGAAAGAACGTAAGCGCGTGAGGAGGAAAGGCTCGCTGTCCCACACAGCTGGGATGGGTATCTGTGCTAGCACAGAAGTTAGAACTGCTCGTGTGCTGTTCTTTGAGCAATAGGTTGTGGTTGGGGAGAGATATTGCTATAGGAGTGCTTTGAGCTGACATGTCGAGTTTGCAGAAAGCCTACACAGATAAGCCAGCTGAAGGACCCTTGTCTTGTAAGGGAAGTGAATGCATGAAGTGAGCAGAGTCCCCCAGCCCCACTGCATCTGTACGCTATGCTGTCACTTCTCAAGGTTTGCTGTGTCTTTGCTCTTGTTTCTGAAGTCTAGCTCTGCTGGCTGTGGATAAGAAAGATACTGCTGGCTTCTGAAGTAAGCAGGAATTGCATTTTTTTACTGCATTAGATACAGTTTCTTAGGGAACGCAACAACAAACTGTGCACCTGAGGAAGATCTCACTTGCCCTTTTCCTCTGTCTGGTGTGAGGAACAGGCCAGGAGAGCAGGAAGAGACCAGAGTACAAGCTGCTTCTGTCATGTATTCCTGTGCAGTACCCAGCACACTGATTGAAGGGGGCTTGGACAGCCTTCTCTCTGAGTCACAAACGTGAGCACATTTAGCACGCCCTCAATGGTCTCCTGGCTGACTTTTGTTTTTCAGATGCACAAACCTCACACTGTGGTGTTTGACCTCTCGGACACTAAAACCATTCTAAGTGCTGCTGTAGAGATTCTGAAGTACCTGGGTCACGTGGACATACTGATCAACAATGCAGGCATCAGTTACCGAGGCACAATTGTAGAGACAGGTCTGGATGTGGACAAGAAAGTGATGGAAACCAATTATTTTGGTCCCATAGCCCTCACCAAAGGTACCTGTCGTTCACATTATAGGGGCACAGTGGCTTGTACCTTATGAAAGCAAACACAATTAAGAACAGCTTAACTGCTAATTGTATTTGGTGGAATACAGTATGAGGGGAGGAGAGTTTTGTTCTATGGGCACATATGATGTTGATATGTGGGTATGACTGTATGGGAGGTACAGGATTAGAGATGATACCTTGCTTAAAACACCTCCTGACTTGAGTCTGGAAGGAGCTTTGGCTGGTCTGTCTGCTCTGATGAAATCCTGAAGGAATGGAGTTTGGGTTCAAGGTGAGGCTGTAAGCTTTCCTAGAAGGCTTCTCTGGTTGTATAGAAGGTTCAACCTGGAGGGTGCCAGCTGTAAGAACTCTAAAGATGCACTGGTGGCAGGAGAGAGCAAGTTCTCTTCACCATAGCAACTGTAAGGCCTTTGTGCAACCTCACTGGCAATGAGTCACCTAATAATGGGAATGGCCCAGTTTCAGTTACAAGTATCCTAAGCACCAGGCCTTGCCCAACCCCTACCCTGAACGAGGATCTTGTCATGCACTCACTGAGGCTTCTCTGAAGCACTGCTCTGAAAGCATACATTCTCAAAGGCAGTAATGGTCAGACTGTTACTCTTTTTTGTCCCTTGCCAGCACTTCTCCCTTCCATGATCAAGAGGAGACAGGGCCATATTGTGGCCATCAGCAGTGTTCAAGGCAAAATAAGCATTCCTTTCAGATCAGCATGTAAGTACCTCCACAGAAGATGGGAAAGGCATGTTTGGGGCGCCAGGCTGAATGAAAGATTGCACATTTAGTTCTCCATGCAGCTGGCTGTGTGCAGGGAAGGCAGGGCTGTGAATCTGTGTGGTGACCACACTAACAAACCTGTGGCAGCTGTCGAAGGCACACACAGATACAAAGCCCTGTCTTGAAGATGGGAGAGGAGAATAAGGCATGTGACTTTTTTGCTTAGAAATTTAGTCTTGCAAACTGTTTCATATTCCTACCATAATATTTGGGAGTCCTGTATGTTTTCTATTTTTCTATCCCTTGGGAGTAATTAGTTTGCTAATTTTATTGCATTTTTTCCTTGTTATTTGTCTGATTAATTTCCTATAAAAAAAGTAAGAACTTTTTGGCTTACGTTATGAAGTGCCGTGGTACAATTGATAGCAAAAGGAAAACCTAAACAGTTACCTTGGACCCAGAAAGATCTGCACACTAAATCAGATATACCAATGAACAACATTGGTGTGATTACTGGAAGAAGTGTTGGAAAAGACAGAGGATCTAAGAGAACAGTATTTGGCATAAAAGCATCTGTAAATCACTGAAAATAAACAGGAAGAAGAAAACATGCAGTGGAGGTGGTATGCATGTGGTAGAGCATGGTGTTGAGTGAAGGAGAGCTTGGAATGTCTGGCCATCATGGCTTGCAGATGATGTGGGTATGCTTGCAGCAAGATGTGTGTTCTGAAGAGCTTCCAGAATGCTGCACACTGACCAGAGCCGTGTGGCTCAAGCTGCATGAAGCTCAGCTTTGCTTACAGGTCCTCAGAGCGTGTACTGAGCTGTGTGCTGCTGCTGTCATCCCTGAACCATGCTGAGGTGATGGCTGTCACAGCAGTGTCAACCAAATGCATGTGGAAAGCAAGCAGGCAAAAGGAGTAGATCATGCATTGAACAGGAAAATCCTACCCTAGGGCACGCTATGTGCTGTGTGATCAGGTGTGCAGCCAAGTTCTGAAGTCCTTAATGCTTAGTGCACACAGGGCATCATGTTCCCTCAGCCTCAGTCAGTCTTATCCAGTGCCTCCCAAGACAGCCTTCATGTTTCTTCTATCGTGAGTGGGAGGCCCCCACTTGGGTTCACTCTGTAGTGGCTTTGGCATGGCTGTGAGATATTAAGTTCAGAATTCTAGCCAGTTTCCAACTTGAGTATTTACATTTTGCCTACCTGAATTGCCCCTTAATTCCACTGCCTCTTGCTGCCATTCACTAAGAACAGTCAAAAGCTAGCAGACAGCTGCTGAGTTCTTGCTGAGAGGTGGCTGCGTTCTGGTGAAAAGCCCACTTGGGGATAAACTGTTCTCCAGCTCTGCTCTTACTGCATAGCCTTTGTCCTGTTTTTCAGATGCTGCCTCTAAGCATGCTACCCAGGCCTTCTTTGATTGCCTGCGAGCAGAGGTTGAGCAGTATGACATTGATGTGACGGTTATAAGCCCTGGATACATTCAAACAAACCTTTCTCTCAATGCTGTCACAGCAGATGGATCTCGCTATGGAGGTGAGATGCGGTTTTGTGTCCTATACCCAACACATTTCTACCTCACTGAGTTACTCCAAAAGATGCTTGCAACATATGGCCTCTGGTGGAGAGATAAGTTAGCCCTGAAGCATCAAAAGAAACCTTTGGATCTAGCCTTCCTAATCAGCAACCACCATGGGGTCACTGAGTTTAAGGTAATTTTATAGGGCAGATCAATCTAAGCATTGTCTTTGAAGGACTCTGCCACTGTTCCTGAAGCTTGAGATTTCAGTGCACCTGGAATCAGCAGTCAGAAAGGGAAGGACGTATTGGAGCTTTTGGCTCCAGGCTTTAATTGTGAGATGGGCCACAAGGCTTGTGTTCTGCAGCCTGGGTGTTGGAAGGAGCACGCATTCATTTCTAGCTCAGCCATGCTTTATACCTGCCTGTGTAAAAACCAAGAAGTAGGACAGCAACCACATACAGCTACAGCGTTCCTTGGAAGGGTGTTTAAGTGTGGGCTTACCTTCCAGTGTTGATGCTTACTTGGCTTTACTTTGGCAGTTATGGACAAGAACACTGCTGAAGGCCAGACAGCTGCAGAGGTCGCTCAGGTGGTTCTCTATGCAGTGGGGCAGAAGAAGAAGGAAGTCCTCGTGGCTGGCCTAAAGCCCTCCCTGGCTGTATACCTACGAAACCTCTTTCCCAGGCTTTTCTTCAACTTAATGGCAACTAGAGCAAAAAAGGAGAGAAAAACAAAGGACTCTTAGGGCTCAGCTCATTCGAGCAGTAACTGTAGGGAGAGAGTAACGTCCTGCAGTTTGGCTGGGACATCAGTGGAAGTGCTCCTGTGGGAAAAACCTTTCTCTAAATGCTGCAACTTACCATTGCATGGAGAGTGAGAAGCAGTGTCCCCCACGACAGGGCAGGCCCACGTGCCAGATTACAGCACCTGAACCTCCCTGAAGAAGGGTGCTTGGAACAAAGTGTGGGAGCTGAAGCTGCAAGAGAGGGTAACTGTAGGTATGTACACACTTCACAGCAGGAGAAACCCATGTGCTGAAAGACACTTTACCTCACCTCAGGCACGCTCAGCTTTATTGGCCTGCTACAACTAAAACCCACTTGGTTTGCCTTCCTGCCCCCTGTGGCCTCTGTGAAATACAGTCCCCAGCTGAGAGCTTGCATGATCAGTGTCTCCTTCCCACTCCTTCCAATCTCATCCAAAACGCATTGCTTGCAGTGGAAACTTCTGAGCCTCTGCTTGTTCATGTGCCAAACCATCTGATATGTTAAGCTAAAGCTAAGTCCAGTGCCATTTTTAAAAAGTAACTCATGTAGAATGCAGGTTTTATTTGGAAATGATGTTATCTGTCTGATTGGTACCTTACCAAGGTGTGGGGCTGTGACACTGTGCCACCTGGCACCACGGTGTTAATGCAACACAGGTTAATGCAGGAGTAGCACCAGACAGATAAAAAATAGCAGGGCAGCTATTAGCTGATAGACACCTGGTCCTCCTGCTGGCCTAGAGCACAGAGCAGGTGTGATTCTTTAGCTGCCAGGCACACCATATTCCTGGCAAGCAGAAAGGATCTGTGTGTAGGGTGGATGACACAGGTGACAGACCCTTAGTTCTCACCTGACTTAAACCAGTCCCAGGTGTCAGTTAGGATCACATCCAGGGAGAGGAGGAGAGCTGCTTGCACAGATAGCACAGGTTACAAGGAGTTCTTCAGCCTGAAGGAATGCCATACTCCATTCTTCACCCCCTTTTACATTTCCACACTGCATACAACTTGTTCCTCCTTCCAGAGAAGGTGTATCCTGTCCTGTGTGATCCCAGCAACACTAGGAAAAATAAATGGCTGCACTGGGATGGTTCAGAAGACAGAAATATATAAATTGAAAGAAAGCTTATGAGGTCCAGACCCCTGCTGCCACCTCCATGCACTTAGCAGCACTCTCCCAGTGTACTGCCTTGTATGTCCTGCCTGTGAGTGTGTATCTGATGACAAATAAATTACGTTGCCATAAACTGCATCCTGTATTCTGTTTCAGCTCCTCACTTCAGGGGTAACTTTGGAGGAAGGGAAAGCATTAAAGAACAGTTTCTGTGAGGTGTTACTGTGCCAGCAGTAGTTGCAAAACAACGTACTTCATCCCAGCCCTCTTTTCTGTCACCTGCTAGTTTACAGCAGTGTAAATCCACAGAGGATTAGTGAAGTTAGAAGTCTGATACAGGAGCACGGGGTCTGCAGGACCTTCTTCATAAAGTCTATTTTTGCCCAGTAGGTTTATAATGGATCTCTGAGAGCCTCATCTCAGATGATCACCAGAATGTGTTTAATGGCCACGAGGCCGCTGCTCGGTTTGGATGTTCTCCACTGCCGTTATGGTGGAGGCTGTCAGTTTGCTGTATGAAGGCTTCGAGTTGAAATTACAAGCAGGAGCTTTCAGGTGTAGGCACTGAAGACTGGAATCTTTTTTTTTTCACTGTTAAATTATAAAACCAAGGCATTACCTCCTTTCTCTCTCCACAAGGAGAGCTTCTCTAATTGTTACTCATGCTTTCCCTTTCACATTCTGCACATTTGGGTCTTTCACCTCACAGTGAAATACAGCACTCCTGCCAGTCTTGTCCAACTGCTGTCTGCTGATGTTTCTAATCACAGTAGCTCAGGAAGGAGGAAGGGGCTGCTTTGCATTTCTGTGTTATCTCCCAGAGTGCTGATGGATATAATGCATCAGGCCTAAGGAAAGAAAAAATACATGCAGGGGAGTTATTGTAGTTACTGTACACAGAACTGCAGCAGTCAGAATACCAAGGATGTGCACATTCCCCTCTGAGAGCAGAATCCCCCTCTGCAGTGAGAGGAGTGCAGTGCTCTCCATTTCAGAGTGCCTGATGGTCAAGATGGGCAGCAAAGCACGCAGGGCACTTGAAAACAAGAACCCACATCTCCAGAACAGGATGAAAGGTGTGTTTTTAAAACAGGCCTACCTGTTGCAATAGCTGGTTTTTCACTTTTCCTCCTGCAGTAAGAGACCACAGTAAACGTGCTCATTTTTAACTGCAGAGCATTTGATGCAAGTTGTGCTCTTAAAGAGCCTCCCAAAGGTTAGTTCTTCTGTCAGTGATCATTCCAGGCAAGGGAAAGCTGGACACCACAGGCCAGGACCGTTGGGTTTGGGTGAAGAAAGGAAGCTAACAGCCCTAACAGTTCTTCTGCAAGCACAGGAATATCTTGTGTGGCTTGGACAAGGATACCTGGGGACCTTCTGCAGCAATACAATACATACTGGCTGCAGCAGATCCATCGCTAGTTTAAAATTATCCAAAAGATAGACAGGATTTTAGGAACAAGCAACATCAGAGCCTGAAAAGCAGCCTGCCAGCAGTCTCAGGCTAACTGTAGAAAGATGAAGTAATTGCATTTCTTCCTCTCCTCTCTGCCAAGGCAACTGTATGTTGTTGCTATAAATAGAGACGGTCTGGATCTCAGCTTCTTTTAACCTTGGAGGGGAGGCATCCACTGTACCAGCAAAAGAGGCCAAGGTTTGAAACACAGAAAACTCCTGATGCCACAGCAATTCCCTCTAACCTACGTGCCTGCTCAGGTACGGCTGCAGCCTGGAAGTGAGGGGGACAATCACTGCCTGCTGCTGTGATTTGAAAAGAGAAATGAATTTGGTTTCTGATCTCACGAGTCTCTCTTCCAAGGTCAGTGCTTCAGATGCGGCGATCAGACTGCAAATACTATTTCATTAAGCAGCACACCTGTATGCAGGCAGGTTTTATTACAGGCCTCTGCTGCTGTATTCAGATCGTAACCCTTGAAGCTGTGCTAAGCTGGCATTATAAAACTAGGCCACACCTCTTTTCCATCTGGTAGGAGGAGAACAGATAGAAAGTAAGCTCCTGCCTTTAACAAGCAAGTGGCAGATGTTGCAAAACAGTAACGCTTTCCCTTCTTAGAGCTAGAAGTTAAATTCATGCAGTAGACTGAATTCTAGAATTTCAGATAACACAGTGGCAAGATACAGTCATCCAGATGCCTTGAAACAGCTCCATTAGTTCAGGTTCCAAGCCGAACCAGTGGAATTGTGTGGTCAGGGCACAGCTGTCCAAGTGGCAGTGAAAAAGCACAGGTATGACAGCTGGGCTCCCACCTTGGCATCCTGAGCTGCATTTGGTACAGCAAACTTCAATGGAGATGCATCCACGTTAGGAAGAACTTGTACAGCAGTTTAGTGTAATGTGCTTCTAGGTGGAAACTGTGTTGAGATCATCATTGTGCGAAGGGATAACAGCTGGAGGGGGGCAGGGCAGCAGAGGGTTTGGCTATTTCTAGCACCCAGCATCCACAGTTACGTGACTACCAAAAAGACAGCAACACCAGCCTAATTCGTGCACCTTCTTTCAAGAAACACAACCAGTCAAGCAAGAAAAAAAGCACCACCACACTCCAACAATTCCTTCAACAGACAACTTGGATGCTGCTGCCAGGTCTGGGTGTGGGCACGAGGATATAATCATCACCACAGCATCACCCAAAAGGGAGCTATCTTAACAGTAATGAGAGTGCAAAATCATTTGAAATTCTCATCCTTTAATGGTCAATGATAACGTCTGGCTGGTTCTGTGTAATACAATTAAACAATATACTTAAATGTTTCAAAAAAAGAAAAAAAAAAAAAAAAAGCTCTCACCCTCCCCTCCCTCTTTATCTTTCTTTCATTGACACTCCACTGCTGGACTGGACTCCCCATGGCTAACATACAGCTCTCAAGTCACCACACATCCAAATCTTAAGTGTAACGAAGAACTGAAAAACCTCGGTGCACCAGTGATGTGTTATTTTAAAAATAACAGCTCTATTAAACCAACTCCTTGCCAGTCTCCACTGCTTCTCAAAGAGGAAAAACAAAATGTTACTGTGGGAGTCTTAATACACTTGTCTCTGTAGGCTTCTCTCTTCCCCGCCGCAGTCATACAGCGTAGAGTTCATAGATCTTCTTTACACAGTACACCAGGGCAGCCAGTGCTATCGTGTTGTGCAGTCTCTTTCTGTGCAGGTCGTCCTTCCTCACCAGCACCACCGGAGTGGAGGAGGTGAGTGTATGCAAGGGCAGGCGGGAGAGTTTATAGGCGTCGTACTCTACTTGGTACTTGCAACAAGGATCGAACTGCCACGAGATGCCATAAAGGGTGCAGCAAGCCATGCTCAGCACGCCAGCGGGCAGCGAGATGTAGTGAGAATAATCTACTGGAAGTGCCAAAGGGGTGAAGAGGCAGGTGGTGCCCGCCAGCACGGCCGTCTTGTGCAGGCAGTTCCCCACGGTGATCCAGCGGGCCGTCTCGTCCCCGATGCGGGTGGGCTCTATCACGATGTATTTGTACTGCGCTTCCAGGGCCTGCTCCAGCTCGTACTCAAACTGGTCCTGAGCATTCTCTCCGTTGTAGATCTCGTGCACGATGTAACAGTCTGTGGAGGACAAGGTGACCCTGTCAACAGGAAAACAAGAGTTAAGACTGCAGCACTTAAAGGCCAATTTTTCACCCACGTGGCTGCAAGAGCTCGAGAGAAGAGCACCTGAAGTCAGGGCAGCCCCTCAAGGCCATTCAGGCACTGCAGCTTTTTCAAATCAAGATTAGTTTTACACTGGCTAATTATGCTTTTTGCATAGGAAGTCATCCCAAACTGAGGCAATTAACTTTTCCTAACATCTTCCTAACTTGGAGAAACAGAACATTTTGAGAAAGCAGGAATTTGACAGCAGTCCTGAATCAGTTCCTCGTGCAGTTTCTCTAGAGGTGCTGGACATGCTACACCTTGACCACGCAGCATGAATGAATGAAATCACAACAAACAGCTCATTCACCAGGAAGGCAAATTGTACTGTGAGATTTTGAGAAGAAGCATTTTCATGTGAAAGTGGCCTCTCCAGAATAATCACCTCCTGGCCACAAAGACAGTTTGCTCTTCAGTCCTTCACAGTAAGTTCAGCCTACAGAGGCGATGAGGGCTGAGAAACGCTGCTGGAAGTAGAGGTGCAAGAGGCAGCAGGGCACAGCAGTCCATGTTACAGAACATTCCCTCTGATCAAACAGGGAGCAGCAAGCAAACGTTTCTTTAATTTTCAAACCAAGGTAGGATTTAACAGCAAAGAAAAAGCTGCTTGCTTTACCCTGGAACAGGCTCCCTGCCAACAGCAGATCCACAAAACCTCCACATCCACCATTTGAGTGCCAGCTCTTAGCTAGCAAAAAACTGCATGAATTTCCACTTCCACCTTCTTCATACACATCACCTTAGCTATGTTAATGTAACAGACAGCTGAGAAATGAGATTACAACTGTTTACCTGCACTGAGAAAGGGTAAAAACCCACCCCACTGGAACATGGGAAAATCCTCCCCTCTGAGAACTGGTAACTATTTGACACACGTGTGTTAACCAGAACAAAACTGAGCACGTGGCCTCTCAAGGATAAAGAGAACCAGCAGATTCCTCCTTCGGGAGGAGAGCGAACTGCACACAGGCTTGACCTCATCACAGCAGACAAAACAGCCTCATCCCAACGCATTCAGATCCTCCTCGTGCTGGGAGGCAAGAGGGCTGAAGCGGAGAATTAAGCTGGCACTTTGGGCTCCATTGGCACAGTGGTACTTGTGTGCATGCACTGGAAAATAATGGAGAGAAAACACACATTTGCAAGCTGCTGTGGTACCAGACATTGCCCTTAATGTGCAGCTCTGCTCACACTGCAGAGGGTATCATGCAGTGACCGTCTGTAATCAAGTATATTGTTAAATTACAAGCCACTGCCAGAAGTGGCTGCTATTGTGAACAGTGGCAAACACGTCAAACAGCAGGAGATCAGATGAACCAGCTTCTCTCAGAGCAGAATAATAAGCAGTTTTCAGAGTCTGGCTGGTATTAACAAAAACCACAAGGAAAACTCTGCTTACAAGCTAGTTATTGAGCTCTCTGCAGTGCTTTTCCCCCTAGGCCCGTTCACAGGTAGAGAGGGAAATAAAAGTCCACCTGAATGCTGAATATGGCAGGGACTGCTGTAAGGCCATCATCTTGTCAGAGCTCGCTTGGGTTTTTAAGGTAACCTTTCCAGGAGGAGCTACATTCTGTAGGTGATAACTCTTTCAGCACAGGATGCAGTGAACTCTTGTGAATTGGCAAGAATTTAAAGAGAGTAATTAAAGGGCAGAGTCTGTTGAAAATTTTAATGGAATACTACATCTCTAGCATGGCTAAGTACCAGCTAACATGAAGAACGTTCTCTGTGTAAGGCAGAATTAGTTAAGCAGGGGTTGCACTAACATGTTAAGGGCACAGCTGAAAATGGTCTCTGCCAGGGACTTTTTTCTTGACCAGAACTATTCCAAGTGCAGCTGCAGCCAAATGAAAAATCCCACTTTCATTTCAGAAGACACACTGAGGGTTAAGGCGGCTCTGTGGAACAGCACCACTACGTGCAACCGCTTGGGAAGGAAGAAAGGCTGAGCTGAGCTCCCAGCAATGACACCATGGAGGATTTCTAGAGCATCTCAGCACCGTCAGGGTGGCACTGTCCCACCAGTCATACTTCTGCTCACTCAGATCTTGCTTGTTCTTCCTTCCCAACATCCCACCTTACCTTCACCGCACTGCACACAAGCAGAGCCATATCACAAGCCACAGCCTCCTGCCAAAGAAAGCAGGCGCTCAGACATGAGCCAGAGGCAGCACCGACCATCTCTCCTGGAGCTCTGTGGCTTTTCAAAAATAAAGCCAAAAAATAAAAACTGTCCTTCTAAGCAAAGAGAAAAAGCAGAGCTTAAAATATTTTCTGCTGAAAAAAATCATAGGAAACTGAATTGCATAAAGATTTCATCACTTCTGGCAAAGTCTGCCCGCCTCACTGTGCTTCTTCTCCAGAACAGCCCCAACACTGGAGCAAATTTCTACCGTGGTGCTGGAGTCACAACAGACAAGGTGGACCATCAAGAAATAAAGAGCAAAGAAGGAAAAATTAGTCAGCAATGCAAGAGCAGGGTCTCCACTTCTGTAACAGAACTGGTGGGACAGTGCATATTATTTCTAATAAGAACTGGTTGCCCCGGAGGAAGGAAAGCTGAAATCCCAATGCAGCTGAGACGCATGGGCTGAATGCAGGCTTGAAACGTTTTCAGAGCTTGCTGGCATGCAGAGCAGAACCAGGGACCCCAAGCCAGATCTCTCCTGACACAGCCTTTCAGCTGAACACGGCAGTTGCACATGAACAAACCCAATCAAAGCACTTGGATTTGCTGAAATGCTGCAGGCTGCACAGTCTGCCTTCCAGTGCCTGCCATGCTGCCCCCCTCCCCACCCCCAAAGCCATGACAAAAATGCAGAACTATGCAATCCATCCAGACTGGCATCCACCAGCTGGGAAGTACTGCTCACTTTACATAGCTCCTTTTTACTAAAAAGCTTCATCAATAACCAGTGTGAGAGAGGATCGAGTCTCCAAAGTCCCAACGGTTCAGAAGCCCAGCAGACCACAACCTAAAAGCAGCCGATGATTTTATTCACTCGAATTCTTTCTAAAAGGTTGCACATGAATCCCACAAGAGCAGTTCTGGATCTTACATCCAAGTACTACCTCATACATTCTACTCCTGAGAAACTCAGCATGCCTGACGCCAGCTGCAAACTGCACCTCACTTTTTGCTCTGGTGGCTCCACTTTCTTTTGTTATGGTCTGGTGATGTTCCCTTACTGTTATCACCCCCTACCAAGGCTGCTTGAAGATCACACTCATGTTCTGCTGCTCTCCTTGGCCTGGGTTTCAGGGCCTCCAACCATTTCAACTCCACACAATGCTCAGGGTCACGGTTAAAAACAATCTCCATCTGCACAAAGGCTGGGTGTCCCTCCGTGCAGAGGTTTTTGTTTTTAAAAGAAGGATGATCCTGACAACAGTATTGCTCACAGCACCAAACATGCATTCAGAAGAACTATAAATGAAGACAAACCAGTCTGATTAGTACTTAAATAAATAAATAAGCAGGGAGAGGCTTGCAGCAGCGTGATAACACTTGTCACAAGCAGCACACGCAGAAGACCTGGAGCAGCAGAGCAATGCAGGGGCCTGATGCTGGCTGTGTGCTAACTGCAGGAACAAGCACATTACAGATGGCCAGAGCACACCCACCTGGGGGCCATCATTAGATCTCATCTAAGTCTATGTCAAAAAAGTTGACAAATTTGTTGACAAAGGCAACAAATTCATACTCAAATACACTGAGCTTCCCTCGGTCACTTAAATCCTTCTCAGAATTTCAGGTAAAAAATGAACTGTGTTTGGCTTTGAGCTGAAGCATTCCTGCTGAGACCTACAGTTGTATTTGACAACACTGTTTTTCTGCCCAAGACAGCTCCAGAGCATGGGACACACAAAGCACTAACAAATCCAAGCTGAAACACCCCAACAGTCGTTTCCCCACGATCTGCCAGTCTCAGGCCATTAACCATTGCTGTCAGGTTTCAAGGCCAATTGAACAGGCTGGTGATGGCTGCACTGAAGTGGAGGAAGAGCAGGAAAAGCACAGCAGTAAATGCAAGACCTCCAATCAAAGGCTGTGCCTTAAATACCAATAGGAGAGAACAGGAGAACGTAAGTGTGATCTTCCAGCAGCCTTGTCGAGGGAAGACAACATGAAGGGAAACATCACCAAACCAGAACAAAACAAACTCTAGCCACCAGAGCAAGAAGAGACGTCATTTTGAAGCCAACTAATGATTAGCTAGGCTAATGGAAACAGGTCAATCATTGCTGTAAGCAAACAGAGTACCAGAAATCTGAGCAGCACAGGTAGAGAAAGGAGAGAGCTCCTGAAGGGTGCAGGGAGGCCAGCACAAGCAGCAGTGATGACATGAGAGCCTTTCTTTCTGGAGTTTGTTAGCACATCTCCAAGCAGAACAAATGGCATTTTGTCTGGTGTGCTGGCGGTCATCACACTGCATTTCACACAAAAACCCCAAGTACAATTCAGTGTCTGTTCTGTATAAAAAGTTGTTTTGCTGCACAAATTAACAATCCCCTTTAGATAGTCTCTATTAAAGAGTCTATCCAGAAGGAAGAAAAACAAATATTTAGTTGGTTCTCTTCAGGTTTTTCCCCACCACCCCCACAGAGCCAGCTGGACTTCACAGCCAACATCCTTTGAAATGAAGGTACCTACATGTAGTCCTATTGAGAAAAGCACTTTTTGACCAATTACAGACTTCTTTGTATCAATGAAGTCATTGAGGAAGGGAAACAAATTTCCACAGGCAGTCGCTGGACTTTTAAAAACGAATTTATTTACTTTTAAGTGAAAGCTGGTCAAGCCTCCTTGTAGCAGACAGTATTTTACTCTTCTGACACCACCTCCCAACACACTGATGTCTTTTTAGACTAGCTGGCTGACAACTCCAAAAACACCTTGAAGCAGCTCATTTATGAGGAAAGCTGGATTAGCATACTCAGTTGAAAGGAATGCATCCTGGGACAAGAATCCTGTTAAGAAAACCATATTTGTCTTATAAAAAGCTTGTGTCATCATTTGATGTCATCAGGTCTGTCAGTGCCACCATCTCCACAACCTGCCAGCAGCCAAACGACCAGGAGGGGTGAAGGAGAATTAAACCCTGATCCAGAGAGGCAGTGGCTCAGTCACACACATCTGCAGCTCTGCAATCACAAGGAAGGCATGCTACCTGGCTGACGTCACCCAGCACCTATTAAAAGTATCTTCTGGAAGGTTTGTATGGGATGACACTTAACAGAACCACTGACTTCTGATAAGGATTGTGTAACGTTCACACAGATCACCTGTTGCCCCATGTGTCACTTCTGTGCTCTCGTGCACTTAACCACATACTTCTCATTGTAAAAGGCATTGTATAAGGTATCCTGAAGGTTCATGAAGTAAGTACCTCATGTTTATGAATAAGTATTTTTGATCACAAGATCAAGTGTAATCATAGCTTAAAAATCACCACAAACCCCAGTGACATTATACTGTGGGAACACTATACAGTTCACAGACAAAGTCATGGGGTGACAACTCACTTTTAAGCCTGCACCAATTTTCTTCCTGGTAGAATAATTTTCACTGAGGTTAAGTGCTCTTTCCCATATTTTTTCTTCACCTTCCATGGCAGAGCAGGCCTATAATCTGAGATCTCCTCACCTCATGTGTTCAGCACTGGGGCAGGCGCCAGCATGGGTGCAGACAGCTCTATCACCACACCACCGCGCTCGGCAGCATTCTGAGTTGTTCATATAAGCCATGCTGAGGTAGTAATTCCACCAGCTCTTTCAATTCAATCACTTGCAAACTCCCTCAACAGAGGCAGCATTTCTGCGTTTTATGTTGGCGCTATGATTTTGAGGGCTGCTCGTTGCTCTCCTCAGCTGGGAGGTTCAGCACCATCAAATACAACCCTCTTGAATTGCAGCAAGGGAACAAAACAAAGCAAAACCCACTTCATGATAAAAAACCAAAGGGATATCAGTCTCTGGGTAAAGCAGAGGGACAAAAGCAAATCTTGGGGAATGCTGCGATTCTCTGATCCTCAAAACGAGCACGCAACTGCTCTCGACTCCCAGCCGGTGACATCAGTCACCCCGGGGCAGAACAGGGAGAACACCAACGTGAGGAAGCACGGGACTCAGCGAGGCGTTGCAAGCAGGTAACCGACCGCGAGGGCCGATTTTAAAGCGGCTCAGCGAGATCTCCCTCGGCTCCTTCCTTCCTCTTTACGGCCGAGATTCCCGGAGCCCTACAGCTGTTCCCGGCATCGGAACAAGGACCGCGCTCGGGCGAGCAAAGCCCGAGCGCGTTCCCCGCAGCAGGAGGTCACCCTGGCGGCCTCTCCATGCCTTCACCAACAGCCCAGAAGGGGCCCCTCGCCCCGGCCCTCCTCCCCTCCCGGCCCGCACCGCCATACCCCGCGGTTCCCGCACAGGGAGGGCCGCGCCGACCTTCTCCGCCAGCAGCTCCGGCCCGCCCGCAGCGCGAGGCGCCCCGGCCCGCCCTCCCCTCAGCAGGGCCGCGGCCCCCGCCCCGCTCCCCGGCCGCCCCGCGCTCTCCTCGGCGCCGCCCCCGCCCTTGCCTCAGGGTCGTGCGGAGCCCCAAGGGCCGCGGCCCGCTCCCTCCCGCTCCCCGCCCGCCCGCAGAACTCCCGGCCGCGCCTCGTCCCCCACGCCGACCGCGGACTCACCTCTCCCGGCCACCGCCGCCGCTGTTGGTGCTGCCGGGGCCAGCGCGCCTCCTTCCCCACGCCGCCATCTTGGAGACACTGGGCTCGCAAATGTCTCCGCCGCAGGGCCCGCCGCGCTGCCCCACGGGAAATGGAGTGCGCGCGGCCGCCGGAACCGCTCAGCGAGAGAGGGCGCGCCTTCGCGCGGACTACAACTCCCACAGTGCCCCGCGCCGCCGCACGGCCGCGGAGGTCTCTGGGATGCGTAGTCCCTTGTGCGTGCGGAGGGGTCGGGCCGGGAGCCGCCCGGCATTCGCGCGGATCCGCGGAGCGCAGAGCAGCACCACGGCCGTCGGCCGACTCCTGATCGCAACCCCCTGTGCTGACGGGAGCCATGAGGCCGTGGGAGGAGCGTCGCCGCTGAGTCCCGGCCTGCACCGCGGCCCCGCCATGAGGGCAGCCGCAGGGGGGCGGCCTGGGCCGGGGCTTCGCAGTGAGAGCCTCGCTGTCCTCGTGCTGCGGGGATAAGGAGAGGAGAGCGGGTGATGCGGCGCAGCACTGCCGGCTTTGCCCGAGGGGAGCTGCTATGCCTGGGCCCCAGGAGCTGCGTGGTGGCCTTCATGGCCTTCACCCGCTTATCTGGAGCCTCTTTGTGGTCCTGGTGTTGCCCTTCAGGAGCCTTTCTTCCAGAAATTGAAAAAACCAGCCGTTCTGTCAGGGACGTTGTGCTGCCATCAGTGAGAATCGAGAAGCATGAGCAGCCCTCCTCCAGCCCCAGCGCCCACCCTGTGCCATTCCCCATTCACTTCCAACATCCTACTCTCACTGCTTTTTCCCCAGGAGCCACCAAACCTCTGAGAAGGAGGAGGAAGGAACATTATCAAAGGGGCTGTGTGCGTTCAGTGACTGACAGCCTGCTTCAGAAGAGTGACATTGTCTCTGCATCTCCCTTTCCTAGAAAATGCCTCATTTTGACAACATTATTTCCAAGTGAGGTAATGTAACTAAATAGAGCAAACCCATCACTGCCTACATCTTCCCAGGCACTATGAAGCCATGCTTCCAGACTGCAGGGCCATCTTGCACTCTGCACTCTTAGCCATCATTTGGGATTTGGCTTTTGCAGTGGAGGTAAATAGCGCATTTGCATGAGCAGGAGGAGGTTGGGAAACGTTCCCAGTGCAGTGGAGCGTGCAGTGTTGCTGGGGCAGGTCGGAGCATCAGACCTTCTGGAATGTGGAATGTAAACAGAGTGTGTTACTAGCAACAGCCCAGCTTTGTGCTATAACCCCAACCACTGCACTGTCCCTGTTGAGGACTTAATGCCAAGGTCCCTCCTGCTCAAATTGCAACCCAAGGCCACGTGTCACTTGTTATATTGGGTCAAATCATGACTGAAAAAAGCAGTGCCCCTTCTGCCCACCATTCCAGTAGCCTTGGGATTTTCAGCTTTTGCAATTCCAGTCTTGGCCTCTGTGGCTTGCACCCATCTGTAGGAAGATATGTAAATACACTGGCAGGGAGCCCGAGGGGCAGTGCTGGAGCTGTGCTTCCCAGCTAAAGGAGGGCCCAGCAGGGAAGGACCTCTGATTCACCTGCCCTGCTCTGCACGAGCAGAGTGACTCCACTAACTGGCTATTGAAATGTTTTCATGCCTATGTTTTCAAACATCTTAAACAGATGAATGCAAGCGTTCTGTGCCAGCTCAGGAGAGGCTGCATTTGCAGGATTGCTGCCGAGGGCTGTTTGACCTGAAATCTCAAGGACTGGTTTCTGTGAGCAGGGGAGGATCAAGCAGCAAAAGTGAGGAGCCGGTTGTGACCCCACTCGTCTCAAGCTCTGCGCAGTCATTGCAGAGACAGCCAGCCAGCCCTCAGACCCAAAATGAAATCCACCAGCCTCAGCCTCCCTGCTCAATACCAGCTCTGAGCTAGGCTGTGAGGAAGCTGCAGGCACCTGGATGGTGGATGAAAGGACAAGTGGCTGCCCCCAGGTTGCAGGGAGCCAACACCAGGATGCCTTCATCCTGAACAGAGCCCTTCATCATTCTCACTACCTAGATGCAGTCACTTCTGCACAAGATCCTCCTTGCAAGGAAGGGATTTTAGAAAGGAAGCTCAAGCAGTAGAAAGGTGACTGTTGTATAGACCAGTGTACACAGCAGTGAGTCCCCCCGTCTTCCCCTCAAAATCTGCTGCCTCCAGCCTTTTTTTCCCCACACCCTTTCCAAGGCATCAATGCACATGGTAGTTAATGGCTAGAAGATTTTGGAGTTAGAATTGTAAGAAGATTTGTTTTCTTTGGGGTGGAGGGATAAGAAAGATTGTTTTACTTTTCTAGAATACAAATAACCAGCAGCAGCAAGGCAGCAAAAATGACCCTGGATGTGGACTGGAAAGAAGAGCTGTCAGACAAGACCTGTGAAGCAGGCTCCGGCTGAGTGACCCAACCCAGATGACAGAACCAGGGATGCCCAAGGTTCCCCTGATCACCTCCAGCCCAGCAAGTGCTGAGCAGCAACCACTGCAGCTCAGCTAAGCCACACTTTTTATTGTAATCCATGCAATATGTTTGTGTTTTATAGTATGACAGAGGAAAGGATAAAGATAAATGTTAGACATAAACAAAAGCAAAAAGGTCATTTGTAACAGGTCCTGAGAAGGAAAGGCACATCGTAACCACTGAATTCAACAGAATGGAAACCTTGGACAGAGGAAGACAATTCTGGAAAGTGGAGAAGGGAGGGGGGTGTTTCAAGTTGGGCAATATGGAAGCAGGTTTGACAGCAATACGTATTTCCCCACCCACCGAAGTCTGCAGTTCAAATGTGTTTGGGGACCTCACTGTTCAACCAAACCACTTCCACGCTACCATTGCTGGAGAGAGTCCAGGATCCTGCTCCTCCAGGCTCAGTCAGCACCAAGTGGCAGCCCAGGGCTCAGAAAGATCCTTCCTGCAGGGGTGAGCCAGGAGTGCTTCATGGGAGAACAGGGGATGGCAGCATTGCTGGTGACCTGTGGGTATTGCTATTTGCTGACATCAAACGCTGTGGGGCTGGGGCAGGAGAACGGGTACAGCAGAAAAACAGTTGGCACGGAACCTGGCACATCTCTGTCAGGTCAGACACTGGAGGAATTGTAGCACCTCAGAGGGAAGCAGCAGCAAAACCAAGTGCTGTGCCTGATTTAAGGCAGCGATTGCTGCTTGTGATCCAGCACCAGGAAGCACAGGGATCCTGGAGCAGCATGAACGGCTCCAGGCCATGCTGGGAAGCTGAAACTTCTGGGAACTGCCACAGTGGGAACCAGAACCAAATCAGCATTGAGTGCAGCACTGCACTTGCACTGTTGCTCCTAGGAGGCAACTAGGCACAGATCTCAAGCACACAGCCCTGCTGCAGCAGATACAATGGTATCTTATCGTGGCTTGCAGGAGATGGCTCAGCTTCACTTTAGGATGGTTCTGTCATCACTTAGCTATAGCAGAGCCAGCCTTGCTCCTGGAACCAGGTGTAAGTGGGTATTTGCAAGTTAAAGAGTGAGCATTTAGCAGCCCAGATGTCTTCTTTACCTCATTATCTGTACCCTATCCCAGTCCCTCAAAGCCATCCCAAAG